ACCGGCTGTAGAGCTACTGCGTCTATGGCCCTTTTACCAGAAAACAGTCCAATAATGCAGAACATGAGACACAATCATGAACCTGGACATGATGTTAAAACAGGCAGATTTTCAGCAGAGTTGAGAGAACGAGCTGCAGCTGAGGCAACACCAGCTAGATTAATTTATGAAGAAGTTTCCAGGAGGTAAGAGACTAGAAAATATATTTAAAAATAGTATTATTGGTATATTTAAAGCTAATTTGAATAACCATACAATGTGAGTAATTCGATAGATTTCCAAATGCAGTTTTCAATACTCCGGCGGAGGAAGCCATGAGGATGATGCGGTTAGCGAGGCAGATGTTTCAACCAGCAATACTTCAGTCGTTAAACGCAATGGCTGAAATAACTTTGTCTCCTCAATGGGGAAATGGATTGAGGTTTACATAAATCAATTTTTTCCAAGAGCCCTTAGAATTCATAAAATACAACGCTTTGGTATTCGAAGGTCTAGTCTTTGCCAACGTGGCATTTTTGCAAAGACTTGCGCTGCATTTCCGGCAATGTCGAGTTCTAACTATTGATGGAACTTTTGGAGTTAGACCAAGAGTACCAGCAGAAATTAATCAACTGGTGACAATCCATATCATCTTGGACAACATAGTAAGTCATAATATTGCCGTACCTGTCATAATACATACAAATAGTATAATTCATAGAAAAATGTTATAGTAATCCAACAAATGTTTATATTATATTGTATATCTATATTATTATTGTTGCTGAATATAAACATTATTATTATTAATTAACCAAATTCTAAAAACATTACTTACACTATTAAAACATTAATTTTTTTCAGTCTATTCCATCGTTTACGCATTGCTTAATCAAAGGACAGAAAACCTTTACATAAGACTTCTCCAATTTTTAAGAGATGACATCGGCGTGGATATTTTGGATTGGCAAAATATTCAAATTGTAACCGATTTCGAAACTGCGTTGAGGAACGCAGTAAGACGAGTAATGGCAGAGTCCCATTTGGTAGGATGCTGATTTCATTTCAACCAGGTTAGTTAATTTCCTGAAATATTATATTTTAATTAACCCAAGTGGTTAAGACGTCATGTGTTATCGTCCGACATCGTCTCACTTTTCCAACGTCAAATGTTTGGCCGTCAAGGCCTGTCAAGGTATAAAATAATGATATTGAAATTTTAGCAGAAAAAGAAGACAAAACATGAACTTACATTTTTTATTTATAGAGCATTGTACGATTCGTTTAACAACATAATCTTGCTGGTGATGTCAGAAATGATAGTAATGCAGCAATGGTTTTGAGGATAGTAGTTCATAAATCAAAATAAGGCCTAAAAAAATATAATGAATTGTTACTATATTTACAATTTTATTTCTTTGTTATTTTAATAGATCATGGCATTACCGCATTTGCCAGTAGAGAGGGCAGAAGGTCTGCCAGATGAATTCAGCATAACTGGAGTTTTTAATGCTATCGTACAATTGGCCACACAGATGGGCGTTCAAGATATACTGACCAAATTATTTAACTATTTTCAGTATTATTGGTTAGACGTCATTCGTCCAGATAGATTCTCTGTTTACCAACTAAGTATACGAACTAATAATTACATAGAGAGCTTTCATAACGTAATAAGAACAACCATTGGCCAGCATCTTCCGATATGGAACTTTTACGGTAACTAAAAAATTTAATCAATTTAACATACAATACATTTTTTGGTGGAATTTTAAATGTTATTAAATGTAATTACACCCTTACAGATAGACTGAGGAATGTGGAGAGCAGAGTATGAAGAAGAACTCAGCAAGTATTAAATGGCCAACAGGTCATTAAAAGTTAAAAAATTAACAATAGAAATGTATATAAGCTGAAGACAGCGACATGGACATAGACGACGACTTAGATAACCAAATCCCAGAAATAGTATTAGAAAACAACTGGAATACATACTGTAATACTTTTAGCGCCATTCGCCCGCCTGTCACTAACAAAGACCATCCAGTTGCGACAGACTCGGACGACCCGCAGCCGTGCTCATCATCAGGTCTGAAAAGACCGCGTTCAGACTCTGTTGATGAATATAATGTAAATGCTATACGTTCGGATATCAATTGTGTCAACAAGAAATACAAATTACCAAATATTAACGGTCGCACATCAAAATGTCAGAAATGGCTGATATGGGATCATCTCATTTTTAAGAAGGGTGGCATACATGGCAAGAGGTTATCGGGATCGGCAAATCGGTCAAATGGTTCTCGGTAAGATTTTCCATTTTAATTCACTTATTAAATTTTAATTCACTTATTTTTAATTATATTTCATTCAGATGTGAATATACCGGAAAATCCAATTTTGCTCCAGTCTTTGTCACCACCACATCAAGAACCAGCAAGATTACCTATAGGGAGAGGTAGAGGTAGAGGCACAGGTCGGGGTAGAGGACAACAGCCTCGACGTGGTAGGCCGCAAGTTACCAGACCGCAACTACCGCCACCGCTTCCAATTGTAGAAACCGAAATTGAAGGTATGTTCAACACTTAAAGAAAAATTTTTAAAAATTGAAAGTAATTAAAGTATTAACTTATTTTTTTTTTTATTAAATGTATAGAAGTTATCATTATGAATGACGTGGGTGCAGTGTTGGAACACCAAGGCAATTAAAGGTTTTAAAGAAATTTCTTTGGAAAACATTACACAAATTATGCATTTATTTATTTGTAGATAATGACAATATTGAAGAGATAGAGGTGGAAGTGGCAGAGCCTGCAAATGAAGGTATTAAAAATGTTCTGGTGTTTCTAAATAAATAAAGTTTTTTTAATTAATTTAATATTAACAGATGTACCAAACATCGTCATGGCAGTGCGCCCATCATTCCAACAACCACAAATGCCAGGTACAAATATTGTAAATTGTATTTTACATTAAGAAATGTAATATATTTTTTTTAAAAATATAAAATAATTATCATATTACATTTTTACAGCTTAGAAATAAACTATTATATACCTTTGTGTATTTATATAGGCGAGAAAGACGATAGATGGTTTGTGTGCCTGGGCAGCAGAGGAGAAGCAGGAGAGATAATAAATATTCTCTTGCCATGTGATCATAGGTGGTGCTGCGATACGTGTGGCCGACGGCTGGAGGAATGTCCAATTTGCCGCGTAATATTTCCAAGAGCTCCACGAATAAATATTATGCATTATAGAGTTGGCGAAAATGGTAAATATATTAATAAATTAATACAATACTTGTGTAATAATATCACACATCTGTTCGTTTTAGGTAGATGGATGGAAAACCTAAATAGCTTGCTAGACCCAACAGGAAGCAATTGTATTTCCTGTTGGAGAGTTGTCAGAGACATGCCAAATTTGACAAGGTACGCCTACCTCTATTACGACTATGGATGGAGATGTGTCGACTGTGCACTCCCGCTTCCAGAGGAATGCGAAGTATGTGGAGATAGATGGCGTTGCTAAAATATTTATTAGCGGATCATTTTATTTTATATAGTTTTTATATATGTATATATTTTTTTTATTTAACATTTTGAAGTTTTTTTTTTATTTTGTAATAAGATTTTTATTTATATTATTAATTTTGTGTTTTATCTAATATTTTTTAAAGTTTGTTTTTTTTTATTTATAAAATGTGTGACAATACATATCATATAATATACTCGTATCATGTGTACTTTTGTATTTCCAAAGATATGAAGTCTACAATGCAAGCAGATATAAATTAAAATTTGTTTGAAAGGTGAAAACTTTAATTATGTTTTATTAGAATTAAATTTTTAAAAATTACATTTTTATATTAGGGTATATACATACATTTTAATAATTAAAAATATACCCTTTCTTTATGCCATATTGTTCCATCTACAAACCAACTTTTGAAAATTGGTTTCCATCAAAACATAGGAAATGTTCTCACATAAAACTTTTATAATCAGGTGTTTTACCCTAAAACCACCCGGTAAGCTGAGTTTTTGGAATTAGAAAACTAAGTTTATGCAGTGTTTAAGTTACGGCCGACCATGCTGTGACTTATTTGAAAAATAAATTAACTACCTAAATAAAAATTCATAATAACTGAACACAACACATCACAGTTTAATCTCTAAATAAAGATTTTGAAACTAGTGCCTATACTTCATTCCTGAATAAATGGGGGTATGGCGTCCCTTTAAGATATCCGCTTGATTATAGCCTTATATAAAATTCATTTTTTTAACCTAATAAACACTTGTTAATATTATTTCTAAGTGAAAATCTCGGGAGAAATGCAAAGTAATAAAATGCCAATTAATTCAAAAATAAATTAATCATATCCGATTATTGGCCAGCTGAATCGCTAAATACAGAAAATGCACTTGTCCTGGACAGATTTTTGTCTATCCTGAAAAAATGTTAAAACTTAAACATGTGCCTTTTCTGTACTTAGCGATTAGGTAATTTTAATAGTCTAATTTCAGTACCCATTGTAGTAGAAATGCAACATATTTATTACAACATTTTATTTCGTTAGAAAAAATACGTTTAATGTAAGTGTTACTCTATAGTTATAAAAGAAATTATTGCCATCTACCAGAATCCAGATGGTATAAACGTAATTTTACTTAAGATATATTATACTTTTCCCCTAAATTCATGACCATTAAAAATATTTTTATAAAAATTGGGAAATAAATGGTTAATCACGTCTTAATAATTTAATCCTAGAGCAAAATATTTGATGAACTTACACGCCGAAAATATAAAAATAATTAAGTAAGAGGATACGTACCTCGTAACCTGCGGACTTGAACACGTTGAATAGAAATTAAAAAATTATGTGGTTATAAAATATAAACTTTTAAAGTCTTCAGAGATTAAAGTTCCTTATCGACGACTGTTGGAAGCGGTCAGCTGACCGATAAGCTGACAGTAGGACCAACTGTAAATGCGCAGTGTGGCCACCTATTATACACATTTAGGCCTACGGGCGATTTACATAATATAAAATATACCTACTCAACGTTTAACTTTCTCCGCTTCATCTGAGATTTTTAATTTTAACAGTAGGTAAGGTAACCAAAGTCCCAAAATTGAACATTTTACAAGTTACAAATTAAAAGAAAGAATTAATATTATGATTTATGCATGGATGATCAGTGAAATGATAATCCGATTGACAATTGTTTAGTGTAGATAATATTCATGTTCGTAGTAAAACACATAAGAGGTATTACGGTCATATCGTAGTATTTTAAATTATTTTATATGTTCGAAGTATGATGACATCGTAGCAATTGCAAATCGAGGTAAAAATGTATGTTCGTAGCTATTGTATGATAAAGCAATTTCGTAGTGATATCATATCGCGGTGAAAAACATTCGAAGCAATTGTAGCAACCCGAAATAATTGAATAATCATTCTCAATTAAAAAATCTTGGCCTAATCATAGATTATAGACTTAAATGGGATAGTCATATCAATATTACATTAATAGTAGGTATTTTACGGACATTTTTCTACATATTAAATGAAGCTAGGTATTTGATACATTTGATAAATACTATTATAATTAAATTATGCATGATACATAGGACTCTTAGGATGTTAGCACCCTATATAATGGTTTTGTTTAGGATTTGGAATCAATAATAAGCATTTAAAACTATAAAGGGTACATTCGGCTACCAATTTAACATACGACAATACAAAGCGGACACACACCCGGAACAAACTTGAAACCCAATCATCTGTGGTACGCGATCGTGCTCTTGATTACTAGTGCCAGTGCCACTCAAATCATATTTAAACAAAATCGATAGTCTCTAAATACTGGACTATATCAGTTCGATAAAATACCAATATAGTTTTTACTACCACATTGCGCGTGTTCATTACATATAATTATTAAAAAAATTATATTTTGGCGAGATGTACGTTTGATCAATTGATCTATTGGCAAATTATTGTACTTCATAAAATTTTATTAATGAACTGTCCGGATATACCGTACTATTACTGTCAAACAAAACTTCCATAATTTACTTAAATAAGTTTTGTAAGTAGCAAAGATAGACGAAGTTGGTAATTTTCAAATACTGGCAAATTTGTATGCAATTTGAATTTCGACTCTTGCAAAAACAAATCATTTTAGATTTTTCGATAACAAACTCATTATCTACCCCCCCCCCTTAATTGCCTAAGCTACTATTTAATTCAGGTATTTCCCCCATTTTTTAGGGGTTTTCGAAAATTTGACCATAAAAAGCCTACCTAAATACGCCAATGCACAATCTTAAATATTTTATGGTTTTAGTGGTGTTAAGACCCTGTAGCCCTGTACGTATGTATTGCAGGCTGTTTGAGTCTTGTCAAAATCGTGGTGATAGGTTTTTAGATATTTAATAGAATAACTTCAAGGTAAATCACAAACATTTAATTTAATATACTTATAAAACATGTACAACGTCAAACAGTTAATAGCATAAGTTCAGTGTGCTTCATAAATATGACGATCAAGACAAATATAAGCCGCTTAAGACTTCAAAAGAAGATTATAGGTAGAAACTTCAAGTATAGTGTGTGGCGGTCCCAGAACATCTGCCCTCCTATGGCTGAAGTTGCCCCTTATATGCTGGTCCGCTCGCTGAATGGGCGTGGGAATCTTCGCAATTATCGCAAGTCCGCGAGTGGATGACCTCGTTCGTCCATGACATCCGCTTACGTCAACGGTGAGGAGCAAGTGGCGGCGCGGAGTTCAGTTTTCGCATGGACAAAATTGGTTAGCTTTGAAGGTGAACTTCCCACGGTGTTTGCCAAAACGTACGTTCACTTTAGCAGTTTTTAGCAGTTAGCCTCGCTAGCGGGGTCAGCTGCTGTAAACAGAATTACAGTTTGTCTGCATTCGCAAGACGCTGTAATGACCTTTTGGGTCTGATGTGAAATCGGCACGTGTGGTACATTCATGTTTAGCAATATTTAACAATGAGAAGTCACATAATGTAATATATAGATATATGTATATGTTAGTCCTGATAAGTTGTACAATGTAATATATATATTGAGGTGCAGTGGATACCTCAGATGCCGCGTGGCACTTGAGGTTAAGCTGTGTCCGTTGTTGCTTGATCCCGGATGGGTGACCATCCGGGATTTTTAGCGGCGACCCATACTATCAACCCCGAATGCATGGCTGAAATGCCATGCACCTGGCGACCGAACTGGCATAAAGTTAGCCATAGTCACTCCCGGTCAATACGCCATACGAAAAAAAAATATATATAAGGGTGATAAGCCCTAAAAAGGGTGGGTTCGTAACAGTGGTACAAGTACTTCATCAAACTTTGAAAATGCGTGTCAGGGCGTTGAACTTGAAGATAATGAAAATAACGCTGACTTAGAAAGTTCAAGTAATAATAATGGTCAATCGATGCCTTTGAATAGCCGAAAACGCAAAAGATGTTCAAGAGATCAAGACGATATCAAATCAATATCAAATAAAATGTGCAGCCGCGAACGAACAGAACAAATCCATATAGCCCTATCAAAATTAATAGTAATGAATCAGCTACCCATATCATTTTACTCCAGCACAGGATTTCAACAATTTATGGCGGTTCTTGAACCTAACTATAAAGTTTGTAAACAAGAAGCTATAAAAAGTAGAATAAATAACTTGAAAGTATCTCTTACCTTGAAAATAAAAGAGGACCTTAATAAAGTTAAAAGTATAAGTTGTACAACCGAAGGATGGTCGTCATTATCTCTAGATTCCTACATCACTGTAACTGCCCATATTATTGATTTAAATTGGAATATAAGGTCTTACACTTTAAC